CATTGAAAATAAGTAGACGAGTTTTGTAAAAAGAATCATTTTAACAAAACAATACACGTTACAAGTTATTTGTTCAACAATGAAAAACCACAACAAAACAAAGTAAATTAAATCACAACAAAGCCTCTGAGTGTGGACAGGATACGGATATTGTTACAGAGTGAAAGATACATCAGTGTTGCCAACATCAATCACGCCACATCGTTGCCAACCTGACTCTGACAACATTAACTGTAGTAACAACATTAGTTGTCTTCGAGAAAGAGGATTAAGTTTACACTTAGAAAATCCTTTATGGTTGATTGAATTTAAAATATTTAAAACCTAGGCCTACATATAAAAATATTTGTCATACAAAATGTTATCAAATAACAGACGCAATCGATCCCATAGTAAATAGGCCTATACCGTTTTTGAGTAATGTTTCATGCGTTTGTTTAGGACATTTTAAGATATTTCATAAAACAAAATTTGCAGGTAGAAAACGTTAAAATGGTAGTTACAAGATTAAAAAGTTGAACGATTTAAAACTATTTTAATTTTATTTAGCTAAGCTTATATTCAATTGAAAAAAAATCATAAAAGAAAGCTCCATGATATACGTTGAGCCTACAAAGCCTATCACCACACAAACTCTTATTCCGTGCTAATACGCTACTGTGCAGTTACATTAATTTAATAAATTGAGATTTTTGACTACAAAATTATTAATACACACCATTCAAACCAACACATTGATAAAATGAATGAAATAACTGTATGCCTAATCAATTGTTTCTTTTATTTGAAGTATAATACCGAAACATGTCGGCCTAAACAAAACAAATGGAAATTTCATAAACTATAATATAAGCCGATTATTTTCACCTTTAACCACGATTTCTCTTTTCATTTGCGGTCCCTGTGCATTTTATCGCTCTTATCTAACAACGATAACATTATCGAGTAGTTTTCACAACCGCTACAAACTTCCTAGTACAGTAGCACACCGTTCCACTTCAAAACAAAAATGGTAAACCTATCCCAAAATAACACTAGCACTAGACCCTTTTTTATATTTCCCTTTTTTAAACCAAATTATTCGTTTTTATGGGAAATGTTGAGTTTTCTAGGGAAACAAGTTGGCAGCACTGCTAGTAAATTAATCAGCTGTTTCCAACACAATCGCAGCTGATCGCCAAAACAATAGATGCAATTACCATCTCAGACAGGGAGAGTTGTACACAAGCAGAGGTAAATTGGACCTCCTTGGAGATATTTGGAGCAACAGGATAACATACAATTAGTGTAAATGAAGTAGCCTACTGTTTACAGGTATTTGTTTTTTTTTCCTGGGAATGTAAAATCCCAGGTTTTTTAAAATCCATAATCGTACAAGTTGTGTGACTAGACTCTAAATAAAAGAAATATTTGGTTAGACATAGGGAACGAATAATATGTGTCATGGTTTATGGGTAATATAGCATGATAGAGATCCTGGTATGGTCACATCAGCGGAATGCTGGTCTGGACGCGGGTTCTAATCCCGCTAATCACTATTGGATTTTAGCTCAGATATTATATTACCCGGACTCTGTGGTTCGGAATCGCCCTTTATCTATGTGACCACTGACCGCGTATGAAGTAACACAAAGATTGCCGATGAAAATTGGATTTAAATTAGATACTCCCTCGACAGAGAATTCTTTCTCTATGCAGTACTCATTGAAAATATTGCAACGTACTCCTTTTAAAACTCTTAAAACTTGAAAACTCTTAAAAAAACTAATATACACACAGTGGATTTTATATAAGTCGATTAAATTAATATTTACGATGACAACAACGTATTATAATTACTGTATGTATATAATGTAGGCATTTGTGGATATACAATACCATAGGCCTAATAATGTTTATGCAGAGGGGCCTGCTTGAAAAAAATCTCCATTCTAGTCTATGGAGTCTATACTTAATATATATATATATATATATAGGACTATAATAGTCTATACTTAAAATTGGTAACTTTGTCTATGTTATGAACCAACGATAATGCACGGGTGATAAAAACTACAACGATGATAAGCTGAAAACACAATGGGAAGTGGAAGTCATAAAATTGATTGATAGTTATCGCCTTATGGTAGCGTTGCACATGAGTAATTGAATGGTTTATGGATAGGAGTACATAAAACAATAAAGTTTTAACTAGAATTTAAAAAGAGGACATTTTGAGATAATTCTGTTAGCCTACATACAAACTCTTGTTAACTTTTGTTCTTTGGAAACAATCAAAGCATGGTATTTTGAATAGTTGAATGTAATTTTCAGTAATTTACAATTTCATTTGTTGATTCCTCAAATTGAATTATTACCTTATGCTAATGGGCTTGAGGATTATTTTCCCCGTTGAAACAATTTGATGAAATACTAATCTTAAAATTAGAGTGAATTATTGTATTAATGGAGCGGAGCGGCTCCGTATATTTAGTTTATTATCTAAGAACTCTGGACTTTCCTCTGATAGAAAATATATGTAGCTGTGGTTATGAAATCAATAAAAATAACAGTTTAAAATACAGTTATTAAGTATTGAACAAAGAATATATAGAATTAATATTGTTTACCAAATTTCTTTTACGAAAGTGTTCAAAACATAACATCACGGCTATGACTATTAATACAACTAGACATTCCATCCCCATGTTAAATTTATAGCCAGATTTAAAAAAATAAAAATCGACGTAGTTGATGTGAGCCACCTACAGATTGCGCTTATCTCAATTACTAAATTCTGTCAAATACATTACCAAGTCAAACATAGGTAATGACTTATGATGAGTTATAGCAACTGTTATGAACCTGGTCAGAAACAAAAATAAGGCATAACATATCATTTTATACACTAGCGCATTCTGTGACTGGGTCACACAACTACGTTCTCTTTTAATAAAAAATTGGCAGCTGGTCCATATAGATTGGTTGTTTACTTCAGTATACACCAATAATGGTCACAGATTAGAAAATATTCTTTTTTGCAGATTTACCGACTTCAACTATGTTTTATCCATGCTTCAACACAGCTTGTTGAATTTATAGCCAACTAATTGACACTATTGAACAGCTGATCATTGTGGACAAACAGCAGGAATCTTTTGGCAGTATATCAACTTTGGAAAAGATCAACATGTTTTCCTAATCATTCCTAGAAGATAAAGTGATTGTAACAGTAGCCTGTCAGAAGATAAGAACTTGTAAACATTTCATCATACAAATTTGGGCTTCAATAGCTAATAAGCAACACACTAGTGGGCAAAGTTTAGCCTACGTTTCAAAGTAAACGCCTTCGGATACTGTTAACTGCTGTCAAAGGCTTCATGTCTTAAGTCGATCCCGGCTTTCAAAACTACAGAGTACCGGGAATTATCGATATACGCCACAAAACACACTATTTAGTTGAGGCGATTTCAAAATCTTCAAAAAATATAGCAAAATAAAAGCTATATGGATGAAATTTGAACGCTAAAACTTTCTGAGACAGTTCACGATTTTGTCGTTTAAATTTAATTCAAGGATTTTTTATCGATATTTTATTTATCGTTAAACTAACACCAGCTAGTTTGATTCAGGTATTTTTCAAAAAATTCTAATAAATTACTGTGATGTCTTAGAACAATCAAAATAAATATTCTCCAGTACACATTTTCTATAAAGAACACAAAAATTAATTTTGTTCACTAGACATTGTAGACCCCTTATGGTTAAACGGTTAAAGTTTTAATTCAAAACCCTGTACCAATAATTGTGATCGATAATATACGTAATGCTACCAGTCATGTTCATAAAATTAAGAGACTTGAATCGCTACGTTGAGAACTCTAAACTACTAGACCCTACATAAATCTGTAAAATAATTCATTACAGTATAGCGTTTAGTTTGTTGATATAATACTTTCACATTCATTAATCCAATGTTCAGAAGCGATAACATATCGTCCTTCTATTGGGTAAAAGTCGATGATAATAGGTATGCCTACGTATTAACCGCGATTGAGGTGAATAGAATTCAAATTGACGATTATGGACTTTGCACAACAGTGGTAAATTTATGATTTCCCTCTAAACGAGCCTGTCATGTTATCCGTAATCAGTTTCCTGTATCATTCCTCAGGTTACCAAGGCCCAAGGCCAGCAAAAAAAAGCCGAAGCATCCCACATTTGCAACTTAAGGACACCAAATTACCACAAAACACATAAGTTAACCGAGAACGAAATAACAACTCAGATATGGCCTTATAATTAATTATTGTTATGTAGATTAATTTTGATTACTGTAGCTAAGTATACGTTTTGAATAATTGATTAATCTGCTAATCTTGTATGTGTGGATCACATGATTGCATATGCCGTACTAAATTATTAAAATAACGTGAATAAGTCACTTAGTTGGTGAGTCATAACTTTACGCTATCAAAATGCATTATGATTACAGCAAATAGGCTACACACTGTTACTTAGGATGGATTGTAATCGAAGTGTAACGAAAATAGATACGTTTTTATACTTATAATTAAAACGATATGGCAAATCTACGAGTTTCATTATTAAACGCAAGTTATTGATTTTCCGCATAGCTTTGATCTTCATCTTCAGAAACCTGGCAGTGAAATTCTCCTCGGATGCCAACAATGAATTAATTAAGCAACAATCAACGAATCAACAAAGGTTCTTTCAGCCAATAATGTGTTGACGCCCTTTAACTGAAAATAGCTTTATATGCAGTCTGACTCACTAAGAGCTAAAACACAAAAACACAACAATACTAGAACTACAACTGCAAGAAAACAGTTGCAGTAAATTCAACAAAGTTATAAAACTGTCATAGGTAGCCTACACAAAGTTTCAAAGTGGGACGGACGCAAACGGAAATTAGGTTAGAATTGTTTACAACATTTCGACCTTCCTGATAGATGGGTCAGATTAAATTAAAAGTAAACAGTTCAACTTATAGTACTTACAAAAGTGACGAGCACTTCGGAAAAGCCGTTTGGTTGCACTGGATTAACACAAAAAAGTTAAAAACAATAAATTAATAACACAATTAATTTATAGGTTATGCACTGACTGCGACATCAACGTAGTTCTCGGGATTTACGATAGGGCGCAGCGTGTGTACGGTCCGCATGTAGGCACGACAAGGACTGAAGCAGGTTGGTCGCGGCGGTGTTCAAGTTGCAGAACGAAATTTCCCTTTCGTCGCAACCGCAGGGAGAAATTTCCTAACTCGTGTTTCTTTCGCGGGATCGTACCAATTATGGTTTTTTTCCGGTTCGACATCGTCTCGGACTAGGAATGGACTTTTAAATGATGACTAATGTCGAATCCTCAGCTATTTCCTTAAAATGGGAGCACATTCTGTAATTGGATTTCCTGCATTCTTAAATCTATTAATATTTTTTTGTCCTTTCGGTATTAGTAAGAGATACCCCCGCCGCAGCAAACCTGCAGACTTAGCGAATTTCCATTTGTCTGATTAGATTTAAACTAAAATGTCTCCTTAAAAATATCACATTTATTCCCTATTTAAACAGAATTAGTTTAATGAGTATTTAGGTTTGCTGCAACAGGGAGGGTAAAAAAGTTTTTTTTCATGTAAAATGTCACAAGGTACTGTGGTTTAGTAAGAAATTAATGTATTTTTCAAATTTGTTCAAAATATGTTCATAAACAAGCAAACTACAACAGTTGACTTATTCTCCATAAGAATAACATGGGAATTTTAAAATTACAATTTTTTTTGAATTTTCTCCGTAACAATAAGGCGCATAATAACGCTTCAATATACTAAATTATTTGTTTTTTTTAAGCTTTACAAAATTGTTTAAAAAGTAATTGTGAAATTTTGTGTTTTTAGGGTCAAAAATGGGAAAAACCTATTTTTACCCCATAAAACCCCCCATAAACCCCCGTTCCCATAGTCCGATCATGCTGGTTCGCGAACTCATTCAAGTTTATCCCGCCTTACACCTTCAAACCAAATTTTATCAAAATTGGACAAAAATTACTCAAGTTATCGTGCGGATGGACACATATATATATATATATATATAGATATATAAAAATTTGAACGAATGGTGTTTATGGCCTCTGGGGACATCAAAATGAAAAAGTAAATCGGTCTCGGGCTTAGGTCTTACCATGAGACCTACGGTAATAGCTACTTCCCTATAGGGAAATTCGCTAATAAACGTATTTTTTTACATATTCATACTAATACTCAAATATGTCTCTCGACGAATAATAAAAATGTTATTCCATACTTCCACTTGTTTGCACTGCACAAAATGTACGTTACTTTTGTGTGTTAAGTTTTAATTTTTATCAGCTATGGTCGGATAGGGGAGGGAAATAAATTATTTTAATCTAAAAAGCTTATACCCTGCCATGACCTAAAGGCATGTAATGTGAGGTTAATGACTATTACAGGCGTAAATGTCTGAGTTTGATAGGGTAAATACTTTTCTGGCAAGGTCCCAGGTTCAAATCCAGCTGATCGCAAATTTGACATTGAACTATTTTGTAACACCGTGAACTAGTGATTCGGAGCTTATTTAGAGTTTATAGGCTCTATGCCCAATAATGAAGTAAAAAAAAATATATAAGCTTATCTCTGCAAAAGAAGATCTAAACTCTGAACAAAATTTGTATTTAAAAGTTCATTCGATCCTACAACTTTTCAAAACTTTTTACCCCTTTTATTATTTACCTAAAACTACCCAGTAAAAACCCTCAACTATGATGTTTTAGGAGAAAACGTATAAATACATAAGTTATTGTAAAGGACTTTGTAAAGAGAAACCCTCTTTATCTGGTGAAGTATGTAGTGTATATTATACATAGTTGTATACATGATGATAAGGTCGTATAGTATACACAAACTATGGCATGTATACCTGACTACACAGCTTCCTATTAACATAGACTAAATAAACATTACAGAAGACCAAGGTTAGGTATTTGTTTATTCGGTGACATTACTAATCCATAATAATAGTAATGTAGGTAGTTGGACGAGGAATTAAACTACAAAATGAACAAGTAAGAAATCCATATTTACAGAACACAGAAACACATAAATATGCACAGACCATATGTTAAAAATGCTTACCCAATTCTGTACATTAGAATACATGTATCAAAGTTAATACCCTAGAACTTACCAAATTTAGACACACCTCCAGAACCTAAATCCAATTTTCACAAAATTGTAAGTATTCTATAGGTATTAACTATTAAGTAAATTATAATACAGTATTTTAATTTATGTAAAAAGATTATTAATTGGTTTACATACACCCAAAGATTTTTTATGAACCTAAATACGTTTTTTACGTGGGTTAAACAATGATATAAACATAGAGGTGATTAATTAACTTAAAATCAGAATTTTATCAAGTAAAAATGTTTTAAAACTAAAACACTATGTTTACTTCACCTTCCCTCCATGCAATATGTTCAATATTTTTTCAAATATAATAATTTTGAATAATCACATTAAATCATTCGTTAAGTTATTAGAAGTGTAAAAATATGTAATGATATATATAATTTACTAGCTGTAACCCGCGGGCTTTGCCCCGTTTAACTTCTTAATTTTCAAGATTATCTCGTTCGCATGGCTCAATCACGTCCTGGTTGAAGTTTGTTCGCTACGCTCACTCACCTTTAGGTTGGAGCTCGTTCGCTGCGCTCACTTGCCTTCAGGTTAGCACGTTCGCTACGCTAACTCACCTTTTGGTTGAAAATTAGCTGTTGTCATAAATGTAAAAGAAATAATAGTGCTGCACCCTGTTGGTAATCCTTGTAACTTTAATGCTATTGAACATCATAGAACAGAACCAACTTGTTTAATTGAAACATCTGTTAAGATTCAATAATTCCATTTCTCATAAGGTTAACATGGGAAACTCCAGAGCCACTGGGGCGGAGCCCGAAAGGATTTTTGAAATAAGAATATGCCTATATGTTAATCGGGAATGTGAGCTATCATCATGCCAAATTTCAGCCCAATCCGACCAGTATTTTTCGCGTTCACTTGTCACAAACATACATCCATACATCCATACATCCAAACTTTCTCATTTATAATATTAGTAGGATAATCATCGAAGGTTCAGTTTAACGCCTAAGTAGAAGGCGACGCAACGTATGTTGCACTACTGTAAATATTTAGACCTGAAATATAGAAGGCTCCCAGTAAAAGAGTAAATATGGATAAAACCCTGTAGATGTATAATGCGTAAATAATCATTATAACTACAGGGAGTATGTTTTATCTATGGAATAATTAACTCGAACGAATGAAGAAAATCAAATTATCGAATAGGAATTTTCTTATCTAATTGATCATAGCATGCTTCTGAGCGAAAATTTTAAAATCTTCATCTTTGACTTATGCAATGGAAGAATTTATCATAAATTCATAAGTGGATAAATAAATAAAAATATGATGGGGGTTTTATTACGTCTAAAATAAATTAAGTTATGATCGTTGAAGGATTGAGAAGAAAACCATAATTGCGAGTGATACCTGTTAAAATCATGGATAGGCTAACAAGAGAAAGTTTATTACAAGTATTCTGTTAAGTCACAGAGATTCTAATAAAATTTAATTTTATGAGCAACAGTTTGACCTAACTTCGAAAATAAGTAAGTTCACTCTAATAAATGCAAACGAGGATATTATTGAGAATTGGTTTTTTGAATTAATGAAAATCCTTCTTTATTGAGGCGAATTTAGGACCGTGCGGTCGTTTCTTACAGTTGACCTCTAAAAAACTGACAATAATAATAAAACATAAGCAAAAAAATTAATAAATAAAAACATAGTAAACATTGCGATGTGCAATTACCCACTCAAAATACCTTCAAATTGTTATATTAATTGAAACATTGATAGTATGAACATAACTATTATGAGATGGGGAAGCAAATATGTCTGATTTAGCTCAAATTGAATTATAAGATTTGTCATAGAGAAGTAAGATATTTTTTATAGGAGTACACAGGAGTCTTGAATCAACCAGAGGAAAATAAAGAGTACGAAATAATAAGGTGTAACTAATGTTTTTACAAAATATAGAATTCAAATAAAAAATAAAAATGTTATAAATATAAAATAAAAGATTGTTTAATATTGGTGGAAATATATCCATCCCAGTTTAGATTTTCATCCTAAACTTCTCCAAAACGTTCTTGGGTGTCAAGAAGGGTACTAAAAAATTCCCATATGAAAGAAATTGTTAAAGAATTTCCATCGGTTGATTTCCAAAACCTCCTCTTAGCAGATGGTTCCATATGTCAAGAGTTATCCAAGTTGAAGGTAATCATCACGTTCTAATCGTTACAACTAAACGTGTACGTGCTACTGATAACCACCCTGCGTGATATAGACACTGATTACAAACCGATTACAATGTATGTCCCTACATTACCTTATATTTATATCTAAAATTGTATTTTACTCATGGTTGGGTATGATATTGCTTCAACTTATGCATGATGCCAATAAAAAAACTGTTCTTTTTTACTATTTCTTAAAAAAAATACAGCGTAAAAATCTTCTATTCACGTCAAAAAAAGATCTTAATTTCCTTTCATTCCATCTTATTTGCCTAATAGACAAATTTGTTTTAAAGTTGTGCCTTTTACAGACTACTACAGTGTTTCCGAGTATTTAAAGGAATATAGAATACTCTATTTATCTAAGGAATACTACGAGTATGTATGTTCTCATTGTTAAATATGATATTTGTCAATTTTGAGTTTGTATCCGAATGAGAAAGAATATTTGGTTTTTATTTGTCCTTACTGGCCAATTTATTTTCGCTTAGCAAATTAAATACAAATTATAGTCAAATACAGTATAACATATATAATAAGAAAAGTGTACATATTTTCCCATTCTTTTTATTTTTTAATATTTTGCTAATAATGTAATTACTAATCTCTTGTGGCCACTTAAAATCAATTTAAATCTATTTCTGTCAAGTTTTCCAAAACTAACATCATTATCACAGCCGAATTTATTCCAGCACATCAACTTTGCAGACAATCTTAACTAATGTTAAGAGCCAGATAGTTTTGACAT